CTACGGATCACAATGTAAAAAAAAAAAAAAAAAAAAGCTTACATTTTAATGTGTGTTTGGTTTATCAGCTATACGTCACGTTTGATGCTAAATATTCAATGTACTTCAATTTGATTCGAATATGACAAAATTAATGGGAGATGGATTTAGGGTTTTAATCCGATAACCCAATCGAGATTTGAATCCAATAATCCATTAAAAAAATCTTTATTTTTCTAATTTTTTCAATTTCGGATCTAATTTCTGATAACATAGTTAATTGGATATGAATTTAACATTCAAATATCCGTTGGATTATTGGATCGGATTAAATAGGATAATTATTCTTAACAGATCGAATCGAATTTGAATAGATCCGATCCATATATCCAATCCATTTATAACCCTAACTTCAATGCAAAGATTCCACTATCGCCCTAATTCGAGTTCACGGAAGAGGTTGGGCAACATATTGTCGACGGATGTTCTCTTCTTCGTCTCGATGGTGTACGGAGAAATAATGTGTTGTGATAGCAATCTAGTCTTCTTACTAATCATTTGCTTTGGCACGTCAATAAACATATTTCTTACAGAATGTCACTTTCATCGTCTTCTCCGAGATAATTATTACATTATCCAAACTCGCGACATTATCTATCAAGTTGGGGGTCATTTTCGGCATAGTTATGTATATTAATGTGTGTTTAGTTTATCAGCTCTACGCCACGTTCGATACTAAAAATTCAATGTACTTCAATTAGGGTTGTTAATGGATTGGAATTTGATCCGAATCCGATGAAATTAATGGGAGATGGATTTAGGGTCTCAATCCGATAACCCAATCGAGATTCAAATCTGATAATCCGTTAACTAAATGAATCAAATATGGATATACGTCAATCTAATTTGTTAAATAAATAAAATCTTTATTTATCTAATTTTTTCAATTTCGAATCAGATATCCAATAACATAGTTAATCGGATATGGATTTAACATTCAAATATCCGTCGAATTATTGAATCGGATCGGATAGGATAATTATTATTATTAATGGATCGGATCGAATTTGAGCAGATCCGATCCATTTACGGTCCTAACTTCAGTGCAGATTTCATAATCACCCGGGTCGATTTCACGGAAAAGGTTGGGCAACGTACTGTCAACAGATGTTCTCTTCTTTGCCTCGATCGTGTACAGAGAAATAATGAGTTGTGACAGCAATCTAGTCCTCTTGCTAACCATTTGTTCTGGCACATCAATAATATGTTTCGTACAGGGTGTTATCCAAACTCGCGATATTATCTGTCAAGTTGGGGGTCCTCTTCGACATAGTTATGTATATTATTTATTTAATATTTAATTGCGTTGTTTAATTATTTATTTAATCACTTAATTAAATAAAAAATTAATATTTAATTTAATTTCTTATTTAGATATTTCATTTATAAATTATCTTAATTGGTCGTGTGTAGTATGTATCTAATATTTCATTACCTTATTTAAATAAATTTTACAATATATATACAATTATTTCATAAATAAAAAAATATTTACTATTATTTCGTCCCCACCATCGGCACCTCTTCCATCTCTACTGACATTCATAACGATTCTAATGAAACATCTGTGTACATCCCCACACCTCCACCGCCACCCTCTCTGTCACCATCTTCGCTATTCTCTGTCACTGTCTAGGACCTCTATCACCTGCAGACCATATCTCCTCAGATATAACTCTGACCCTCTTCTTTGATCAACAGTGTTAGCTCAGTGAGCAATTCAAGCTGACATAGTAACATTTCACCGAGTTAATGACCATGCATGCATCGAGATTTCGAAATGACGTACAACATAAATTACAAATGAATAATATGTACCTCAGGATTGTTGAGGAGAGCTGATAAATGTCAGCTTTGTCCCATGGATAGTTATTGAATATGTCAATGTTATCAACAACTTCCAAATGAAAGAGGTCGATCGACGTCTTCTTGTGATAACACTACTGTATGCTCTCTAGTATAAACATCCCCAACTTCAACTTATCAAACATATCGTCGTATTCATTGAATGCATCTCCTAATTGTGTTAGAGTTACCGTCATAAGCAGGATCGCTGTAACAGGTCTGCGTGCTCCTCATCCAACAATGTATAAGAGACGACGGATAGAGCATAATATTTGAAAATTAAATAGTTTATTTACTTATTTAAATTGTTAATTGAATGTTTAATTGTTTATTTTAAATGTTAATTATTTATTTCAATTTTTTATTTAATATTTAATTACTTATTTTTATCATTTATATTTATGGTTCATTTAAATTATTTATTTAATACTTAAATGTTAATTATTTATTTCAATTGTTTGTTTAAATTGTTTATTTAATATTTAATTACTTATTTAAATTACTTCTTTTTATATTTATTGTTCATTTGAATTATTTATTTAGTATTTGAATTCTAATTATTTATTTCAATTGTTTATTTAATATTTAATTACATATTTAAACTATTTTTTTATTATTTATATTTATTTGTTATTTATGTTAATTAATTATTTTTATTGCTTAATTAACATTTAAGTTACTTGTTTATTGAATTTATTTCAATTAGTTATTTATTATTTCAATTAATTATTTTAATTATTTTATTAATATCTAAATATTTTTATCTCAATTAGTTATTTATTATTTGTTTAAATAAACAATATACATAAAAATTAACATAATTCATTAAATATTTAAATAAACAAATAAAGTATAAAATGAATAATTATATATTAAACAAATAATATACACAAACAATTAAATTAATTACTTAAATATTTAAATAAACAATTAAATTAAATATTAATTTATGAAATTACTTATTAAATATTTTATTTAAATATCTCATTAATTACTTTAATTGGTTATGTATATTGTTTGTTTAATATTTAATTACATATTTAAACTATTTTTTTATTATTTATATTTATTTGTTATTTATGTTAATTAATTATTTTTATTGCTTAATTAACATTTAAGTTACTTGTTTATTGAATTTATTTCAATTAGTTATTTATTATTTCAATTAATTATTTTAATTATTTATTGAATATTCAATTGTTTATTATATTTATTTCATTATTTATATTTTAAATAAAATGAAATAAAAAAATTAATTATTTTACTTAAATAAACAATTTACATAATTCATGAAATATTTATAAACAATTAAATTCAATATTAAAAAAATAAAAAATGATTAAATATTTATTTAATTTCTTTATTGATATTTTAATTTCCTAGTTTAATTGATTATTTTTATTATTTTACAAATGTTTAAATATTTATTTAAATTCTTTATGTATATAACTTATTTAATATTTAATTATTTCTTTTATTTTTTTACTAACACTTATTTTGATCATTTATTTTAATATTTTCATTGCTTATTTTAATTATTTTACTAACACTTAATTTAATCATTTATTTTTAATTATTGTTTAAATACTTTTTTTAATTCTTTATGCATATTGATTATTTAATATTTAAAAATTTATTTTAATTTCTTTGCAAAAATTTACTTTGATTGATATTTTAATTTCCTAATTTAATTGCTTATTTATTATTTTACAAATGTTTAAATATTTATTAAAATTCTTTATGTATATTACTTATTTAATATTTAATTATTTCTTTTAATTTTTTTACTATTGCTTAACATAAAATAAGTAATTATACTAAATTAGCAAATAATAAATATTTAGATAAATAATAAAACATTTATATTAGGCATTTCAAAAAAATAATTTTAAATACATAATATACATTAAAATTAAGCAATTCAAATAATAATTAAATATTAGACAACACAATATAAGCAATTAAAATAAATAGTTAACTTCCATAATTAAAGGAAATAAATAAATAAGTAATTAAAAAAAATTTTGGGTCTAGATAACGGACAGCCTAGTTGATTGGGTCGACCCAGTTGAATGGGTCGTTTGGACGAGTCTGGGCCATCCTGTCTGCTGTGCCAATCGTCTCCTTCGTGGAGATCGTCAGAAAACTCCTTTTCTAGCGATTTCCACTCCATTTTCCCCTCTCAAATTATTATTCTTACCCAAAAATTATGCATTTTTCCAAAAATCAACACATGTATCTAAAATCATGTTTTTTTGTTGTTTTTTTCCAAAAATCAACATAAAAACAGTAAATATGGGTCGCATGTTTTTCCTTTTTTGTCGATGCTACAGTAATTTTCCTATTTCTTTTCTATCTTCTCTCTCTTTTTTAGATGGTAAGGGTAAATTTGTATTTCTCTTGCTTTTCAATATTTTAAACATTTTTGCTTTTTTTTTATTAATTGGTCAAAGGCCTCTTTGAAAAATTGGTCGGGTCAACCGACCAATGGCCACTATTTCCTCGTTGGAATGAAGAGCCCTTGTGACTAATTAATTGGATAATCGTGACTAGTAAAATAGTAATTTGTGATAACTTTTTAGGAATTTTAAACCAGGCTTCCATATCAATAAAAAATATCCATCAATAAAATGACTAATTTGTAACTAATAAATAATATGTAATTTAAAAAAATGTATAATTACAATTAACTTTGTAATTGTTACATAAAATTTGTCGTTTTAACTATAAAATTATGTGATTTGTTACTTCGACTATAAAATGGGTTATTGTGACTTTGACATGTTTAATTACTTTTAACACAAAATTGTTATTAGGTGAATACAAATGAGACCTCCTGATTTTTAAAACTTTGTTCTGTCAAATTTCTTCTGAAATTGCATCTCGAAATTTTTGTAATTATGTATTTTTCCAAAAAACTAGGGGTTTGCCACCCCCACCTTCCCTCAAGCAGGAATCAAGACAGGGACGAGATGGTAAAATCCCCAGCAACAGGACGGTTTGACATTCCCAATTCAAGACATGCGACTTGGTTCTTTAGACATATGGCATTACAAAAACTCCAATTCACAAAGTTGTTCAAACAGACATAAATAGCCAGAACTCAAAAAACATCATGCTTTTTAACAGAACAACTCAATTGATAAACCACAGGCACCATAATCAGTGTAACACAAGAAAAACAACCACAATGAGATAAGGGTAAAAGATACAGACCATTCATTACACAACTATTCTCAGTTAGTTACAGATTCAGAGTTCTGCTCATTGAAGGCAAAAGACGAGTCTCTTAGGACTTATTAAACACTGATAGAGAAACAGAGAAGAGTGAGAAACATGATCGTGCCTAATCCTTGGCACTGGGAATTCATCTGCATAATCAAGAGAGTAAAAAGTTAATCTAACTGAATAAATTTTCAGAATCTCAACAAAGTAACATATCAATGAAAAATTAAGTAAAACGTGCTGCTTATGTCCCAAAACATAAACCTCTATTTATCAACCGCGACCTTTCTTCACATACTGTACCCTCCATTTTAACCCCATCATGGACTCTATTCCTCTCCGCAGAACCAATGTATCGCAACCATCCCTCTTGCATCTTATAATCAAGCTAGAGCTGTTTCTAATAGATTTCCATGCCCCACCCACTCTGTTCATAATCAAAATTTTGTGCAAAGTTTCACCAAAGGTAAAACTAGCTGAATCTACACCCAAACTAGAAAATTGAAAATCCTCCACAAAGAACTCATAAGAACAGAACAACACTAAGAATGTTTACGTCCTGTCTGGAAACATTGTTTATAAAGGACTGCAAAAAAGATTCCTTTGTGAATGTTTAAAACAAGTTTCTAATACTGATCGTGGGCCCAAACCTTAGAAAGTAGTGTAATTGAAAGATTGTTTTGTGCATTTTAAAAAAAAAAAAATTCTACAGTGGGTAACTTCTTCGCTTGAAAATATAGAAAACATCAAAATATTCTTGCGATTTCACTAGCACCCCAACCAATGTAATGCAGAGCAAGGAGTAAAGGTCTATTTTCTATAAACATTGGCGCAGAGAAGTCAGTTCTTGTGCATGCCAGGAACGTTCCACTTTGGCAAGGCCTCATGGTTCATAGGTCTGCTTTAAATATTGATGCAAGAACAACAGTCTTATTCATGAACTGAGAATCACAGCAAGTGCAGACGTGATACAAATGTCAATTAGCTATTTGTGTTCATAATCATGACAATATCTTAGCTACTACCCTCACACTATGTTTATGGGCACAACATTGGACACACAACATTGAAACTAGCAAATTTTTTTGCTGAATTCAAACAGATGTTTCATTAGTTAAAATTCTAAAGCCCTTGTTTCATTCCACAAAAGACTCGTATACTAATCAATCAATTAAAACTTGATTACACATTCTAAACCTTCACATGAATAAGAAGCATATGCACTCTCGTATGGAAAATTATACCTGGAACTACTAGCAATGTGCTGCAAGTTAACACAATTTTCTCAATAAAATAGCTATACAGATTTATATAGGCAGCGACCTGATTTCGGGAAATGGAGACGTAAAAAGGTTTGTGCTTGTGTGAGTACAAATGAATATGTACATCCGTCTACTCATAGCAACCAACAGAAGTTAAAACCCTGTACATCCGTCCACTCATCTTGAATATGCATAAATAAATACAAGGCATGTCATTTCTTAAAAATAGTCTGATTGCGTTCATATTCTCAAAAACCCTAAATTTCAGAAAATGAGAAATGCCTAATTGACGCAAACTAAAAGTCTAAAACAAATATGTATATTAACAGAAGACCCATATCTTAAAATTGAAAAATAAGCCAATGGCAATATACATCCAAAATTCCAATTTTTGCAATAAGTAAGCTTATCTTGTTGATAGGACATGTTCATATTTTCAAGAATCCTAAATTTCAGAAAATGAGACGTCCCCAATTGATACAGACTAACACAAACAAGTATTTTAATTAAGATATACCCATATCTTAAATTTGAGAAACGCAAACCCCAATATAAATCCAAAATTCCGAATTACCAAAATATTGGCCACACCAAAGAATCAGAAATCCACTACGTTCTATACGCATATCCGCGTCAAAAAGATTGATTCTTACCTTGTAGATAGAGGGGGGATTCTAATGAATAGCAGAAGTAGAAGAATCAGAAGAAGCAGGAGCAGAATTGGAGTGAGAGTGAGTGTGTGAGTGCGATTTGGGTGCGTAGATCTTGTTGTAGGCAGCTTCACCGACAACGTAAATACCAAAAGCCACGAGGGCGATGCCGAGACCGGGGGTGGCGTGGCGCCACTGGTTCGTCATCATCGGGTGCTTCCGCCACTCATCCCGTCTCCTAAAGAACTCGCCTGTGTGTCCCAGCGGTTTCGCCATTGATGATGCTCTCCTGATTAGCTTGATGAAATGCTGTGGATTTGGAATGGAAGCTCAAAATGGTAATGGTAGAGATGGGCCCATTTGTATCGGCCCATGGAAATCCATGGGCTGGGCTCTAAAGGAGCTTAGTGGGTTTAGTCCAACACAAAATATCTGCTCTTTTTCAAAGGGAAAATGACACAAATGGCAGTGGAAATGCTCAATCCCTTTGATATGGATATCGACGAGGCCTTTTTTGAGAAATCGTTAAATGAAATTTTAATTGACATTGGGGATCCAAACAATTGTAAAAAACACACGAGAGGAACTCTTTATCAATTTCAAAACTTAACAGCGTTGTTTTTCTGAGATTGGATTCATTTGGTAATACTCATGATATTCATCCGTACTTTTTACTTTTAAAAATTCAATTAACTGTGATGTCTCAAAGCATTTCGAAGAGAACAAGCTAACTCTGAATTCGAGTGACGTTTCATGCTTAACCATAGTTTATCTATCAACATCACTTAGTTTGGAGTTTGGACATTCACTTAGTTTCAATTTTCACACAAACTCCATTCTAATCATGAATAGATCGCCTAAGTTGGAATATATAAACAGTAAGACTTGCTTTCGTTCCTTTAGTCAAGTCACGTGTCTTTGCATCGTTGGTTCATTTTTCAATAGACAGACACAATCGTAGGTGGTCTCACTAATAATTGACAACAAGCACTAACTAGTGCGAGAAAGGAGAGGAATTGGCTTGATAATAGGAGGAAGATGAATTTTATATTGAGGTTGATGGTGATTGTTTTTAATTTTTTACACTGGTAATTTTAGTGATATTTTCTTTCACTAAAATCTTAAAAATCACAAATGATAAAATCTATATAATCTTTGCAAATTTTAAAACGATATTCTCCTTGGTGCTAGGTTGACTTAAAATTATCCTTGCCCCTCATCTAACAATCATAATTTATGGCCCGTTTGCCATGATTTTGACTTTTGTTTTTTGTAGAAGAGTTTTTAGAGAGAGTGACTTTAATTTTCGTTTGGAAACTATTTTTTAAAAGCATTTTTTACTCCAAAAGTACTTTTAGAGGAAGTTATGTTCGATCAACTTCCTCTAAAAGCTCTTTTAACTATCAAAAGTATTTTTATAAATTAGCCAAATAAATTTAAAAGCTCACTTTGACTTTTCAAAAGTCATATGCCAAATCAGGGCTTAATTCATCAGCCCAAGCAATTTCACATATTTTAGGGGTAATTAGTACAAAATGTCCCTACCTTTCAATCTTTTTGTGGACAATGTCCCTACTTTTTTTTTTGGCGGATTACACACTCGCCTTTATCTTTTTTTGCTCAAAACGTTCTTCTGTCAACTCTCTGTTAAAATGCTCCATTAAATCAAAAGATAATTAGTACAAAAGGTCCCTACCTTCAATATTATTGCTCAAAACGTTCATACCTTTCATTTTTAGCATAATTAGCACAAAAGGGTATTACATTTCAATGTTATTGTGCAAAACGTCTCTATCTTTCAATGTTATTGTGCAAAAACGTCCATACATTTCATTTTTAACATTTTCACCGCTACCTTTCATTATGTAAAAGGTCATTTTCATCCATTTTTTCAATAAAATGACGATTTCACTCTCCTATTCAAATAAAATAAAAAGAAAAGAAAAATAAATAATTAATTGCAATTATAGTCATAAATATTTCAAAACATTACAGATAAATCATAAATTCTCCACTACCGCCTTTCGGCCACAACACCTATCGGACTCCACCACCACCAGCCTCGCCTCACTCTCCCCAATATCCTTCTCCATAGTATTGGTCACAAATCTGTCCGAAACAACCACATTTACAGTGGTGGAATCCGGTGGGCATGGCGGTCGAAAGGTGGTATTATGTAGATTTATAGGTAGCTTGATAAGTTGTTAAAGTGGTAGTGGTTGAGAATTTATGATTTCTTTGTAATTTTTAAAAAAATTAAGGTTTATGGTTGTAATTGATAATTCATCTTTTCTTTTTGTTTTATTTGAATAGAAAGGTTAATAAATCGTCATTTTATTGAAAAAATGGATGAAAATGACCTTTTTCGCAATGAAATGTGAAATGTAGGGGTGAAAAATGTTAAAAAATGAAAGGTTGATATTTTGCACAATAATATTGAAATATATGGACCTTTTGTGCTAATTATGCCAAAAAATGAAAGATATGGACGTTTTATATAATAATATTAAAAGGTAGAGATCTTTTGTGCTAATTACCTTTTGATTTAACGAAACATTTTAACGGAGAGTTGACAGAAGTATGTTTTGCGCAAAAAAAAAGTAAAGATGAGGGTGTAATTCATCAAAAAATGAAAGATAAGAACTTTTCTACAAAAATATTGGAAGATAGGAACGTTTTGCACTAATTACCCCTTATTTTAGCGCTAAATATGCCTTTTAACAGTAAAACAAGCTGCACAATATGTTAGCAACTGTGAATATCCCCCTCGAGGGACATGCGGAGCGGCTAAAATATTCTCAAAAGCTCGATCACTTCTTGCAATTTCAACCAATCTGAAATACACACAAAATCTCTCTCCGGGTGGTTGACTACCTGCAGAGAGTAAGCAAGAACAAGATGTTTTCACTTCACTTTAGTACTTCAATTTCTCCTTCTCGTCAACAATTCTTAGGAACCAATTCCCAATTTCCCATTAAACTCCTCCCCTCATTATCCAACCCCAACAACCAGTTTAACAACTGTTCGCTACCGTTGAATTATGCTAACAAAATCAAATCCTTGAGAACCCACAATTTTTTTCGTTCAAGAATTACTTGCTCTGCAAAAGCTGCTCAGGTAGTCCAAGCCCATTATATAACGTGTATTTTGTGTTTGAATAATCTGGGTTATTTAAGTAATTGGGATTTGTGTATACTTTTTTATGGTTAGCAGGGCTCTGATCTGGTGGTGAAAGAGAAAAGTGTTTCTGTGGTTCTGCTTGCGGGAGGAAAGGGTAAAAGAATGGGTGTAAGTCTCTTTTAGTAATATAAAAGAATGCACATTGTTAGAAACTATTAACTGAATATAATTGACACAGAAAGAGGATTTGTATAAATCTTTCCACATCTTTGGTACGTATGATTGTTTTTGCACTTGTATATTAAGTGGTTCAATGTAGGATAGTGTAAATACTTTTAAATATTTGAATTTTGTTTGTACATTAGAAAAGTATTTATTTGATTTTTTTACAATATTGGCTGCCAATTGAAATAATGCCAGTACCTCCCTTCCTACTTCAAATTCTTTCCAGTTGAGTTGAAGCGGATAAATTCTATAGCTTGAAGATTTTTCGCTTTCAGTATAATATTGCCAATGGTGCAAACTAGACTAGATCTGATTTCACATAAAAGCACTTTGTAATGAAATTGAAAATGATATTTTCGTATCATGTTGAAGTTTAAACTTTGTATTCAACTTCACGTGGTAGAGAAGTTGAATCTACATGATAACCAATCTGTTAGTCTAATTGGTTGATGAAACAAGGAGAATGTGATGACTGCGGATTTGCTAATTATTAAATTAAATGAGGTGAGAAGGAAAATAAGCACTGTTACAGCTTAAAGTAGTAGAATGTGAGTACCAATGAGTGGTGTCCTTGTATTTACAGAGTCCTGTGGTACGTTGCCACTTTTTTCAGATCATGCAGGAGTACTATTAATTATCATTGGTCAATTTACACACGTCAAATTCAATTAATTATAAGAAATAATGGTTAATTGTACATAAGGAGTTACAGAAAGTTTTACAGATAGATGAGGTGTCAAAAAGAGAATGAAGATTTTTTATTTTTTTTATTTGCTTGAAGAAATTCTAATATAATCATATCTCATCACATCATGTGTATGTACACCAATTTGTAAGTACAATATACAAATAGCACAGAAGTTTGAAAGTTGTGGAAGTTGACCATGTTCTTTAACTCGTAGAAAGAATATGGCTTAGGCATAGACTAACATGGCAATCACAGTAGAACATACTTTTGTTTCCTATATGCATCTGTTTAGCTGTGTTTGTGCTTCTATGAGTTTATAGTACCATATTCTTCACTTCTGCAGTCTATTTTCCATCTGCCGGATGATGGTTTTATTTTATTTGGTGCAAATAGGCAAGCATGCCAAAGCAGTATCTTCCACTACTAGGCCAACCAATTGCACTTTATAGGTTAGTGACTCCTGATTCCTTGTACTTGAGACCATTTTGGTCGAGATTGGGACATAAATTTCTGCGGTCAGATCCTGGCAAATCTCTCTTAGATACTAAATAAAAATAAGAAGGAAGCATTTCAAAACTAATCTTTGAGTCTCTCTGTCTTTACTTTTTGAAATTACGATGTGATAATTTCTTGCAGTTTTTACACTTTCTCAAAGATGCCTGAAGTAAAGGAAATTGTCGTAGTTTGTGATCCTTCTTATCAAGACATCTTTGAAGGTCTGAAGATTTTGTATATGCATTTACTGAAATAAAACCCTCCACCCCACCCCAAGAAAAAAAAGTCAAGCACTTCGGTAAAGTCGTGCAGCAAATGCAAATTCTATACGCTTGGAATATGCTAGTTTTCAAATTCAACTTTCTCAATGGTTAAAAAATAAAACTTTATTTTTGGTTATTTTCCAGATGCTAAAGATAGTATACATGTGGACCTCAAATTTGCATTACCCGGAAAGGAGAGGCAAGATTCAGTATATAGTGGACTTCAGGTACAAGCACTTTTCTGGTTTTTCTATGTCATTAACTTGGATTATAGATATATCTGTCCCTTACGCCAGCTCTGTTTTAATTTCTTTATGATAATTTACCCCAGTCGTCTTCCCCACAGCCCCAAGTAAGCTAAAATAGTCTTATTGACATGCTCGCTAAAGTTTTACATTATAGTTTTAAAAGCACCTAGGGTTTTTATACTTGAATAATGCTAAACGAACAGGGCCAGGCCCTGTTAATGTAGCATCTCTCTTTATATTTTTTCTATTTGTCCACAGACAATGACTAAGAAATTCAATTTCCAATTTTTTTTTTGCCTTCAATAGAAATAAGCCTTTTCTTCTCACTGCCTTTCCCCCTTTTGCTTTCTGAGTTTGTATAAAGATCATATACTCATGATTTTTGACTGGTTGCTGTGTTGCATACAGTTTGAAATAATCAATGATTAATGTTAAAATAGTATGTCAATTGCATGTTCACAAGCTACTTTCTGCTAATGGTATTTTGATAAGTTCCACATCTAAATTTGCCGTAAAATACTTATCTTTTATTGAAACAATAAGATGCATTTTTCTTGTGTCAGCTGAATGCATTATTGTGATTTGACGTGACAATGGACACAATGGAATGACAAAAATGATTCATTTAGCTGACCCCAAATTCATAGGAACTGAGGCTTAGTGCATTGTTATTGAGTACCTTATTGTAATGTGCGACATATATATCTCTTTGATTATAAAAGAGGCTTTTGTGCATCAGGAAATTGATTTGAATTCTGAACTTGTCTGCATTCATGATTCTGCAAGACCTCTGGTATTAGCTGAAGATGTAGCTAAGGTTTGTACATCAGCTTAATTTGTATGATTTTCTTCCTGTTATCATATTGTTTAACAGTGATCCTGTATTACAGAAAATAAAAATTTTTATATCAGATTTTCTCTACAATTCAAACAATTCTATGAGTTCTCCCTATTTTCTATTTTGTTGGTTTGCCTTTCACTGTAGAACAACCTGATTATTTTACAGCTTAATATGATAAAATAACTAAATTTTTGTTATTGGCGAAAATTGAAAACAAGAGAGTTACATATTTTGATAGTAAGGGAAGAGTAACTTCCTGAGTGACTTTTTTTAACTCAAAAGTAAGAACAAGTAACTTATTCAAGCATGTTTGGAAATAAAAAGTTCCATAAAAGTAACTTTTACTTTTGAGACTAGTCAAGCATTCTAGTCTAACCCACCGTCACAATTCATGATTTCTTGGTCCATATAACTTTTTATGTAGAAGTAATGTGTTCACTCAATTTTTTGGTTCTTTATCAGGTCCTAAAGGATGGTTGGCTTATTGGGGCAGCTGTCCTAGGTGTTCCTGCCAAAGCTACTATCAAAGAGGTCTACATTTATATTCAGCCACTATAACCTAAACTAGATGAAACTGGAAATCTGCTATTTTATCTGTACGATTATAAGATTTCATCTATAGATAAAATTGTTGCTTTTCATTAAACAATTCCGGTAACATGTGATTCTTGTTGTCTGCCATTTTAGCCTAAACTAAATGAAACTTGAAATCTGCCATTTTAAATTGTTGCTTTTCATTAAGCACTTCCAGTAACGAGTATTGTTGGTTCCTTATTGTCTCGTTCACACATACCATTAGTACAGAAAATATGATTTCTCATATAATATTGAGATGTCACAATATATATATTTGTACTCACATAACACGTTTATTTTCAGGCAAATGGTGAATCTTTTGTAGTGAAAACTCTGGACAGGAAAACGCTATGGGAAATGCAAACCCCTCAGGTTTCTAAATTTAGAATCAAAACTTCATCAATTATATTCAGAAATTTACTTTTGCTGAATTTATTGAGAGAGATTTATAAAACCTTCGAGCTGTCAACTTCTTGTGCAGGTTATCAAGCCTGACTTGCTCAAGAAAGGTTTTGAACTTGTGAATAGGTAATTCTTCGTTCTCGGGGCTAATTCTTCTCTACGTTATGTATAAGTCGACACAACGTTAGAACTTTGTGAAAACGAAGGAAAAACGTGGAGTACTTTTGCACCAAGTATGTAAATGCTTAAGAATGCCTGATGTCTCTTTGGACTTTTCACATTTACCTGTGACCTTCTCAGCATCAGAAGTCTTTTCACGTTTACCTGTGACCTTCTCAGCATCAGAAGTCCATATAAATGATTATTCATAATAGATTTTATATTTTAGTTTCTGAGAGATCTGAAAGAGAAATAAAAGAATGCCCAATGCGAGAATGTTGCAATTGCTTAATGCTGCACGAATGACAATTGATTATGTGCATGCTTGGCTAAGCTTATTTACTTATAAGCATGTAAGTTTTATAATAAATAACATTTTCTTGGTCAAAGTGAGAACTAAATTACGCGTCTACTTCATGGTCAAAATAAATATCTTTATTATTACTTATATGTGAGAAAAGAATAGCACATCCAAACAAATTTGGCAATATAAAGTTACTTAAAAGTGTGTGTGGGGTCACTGCCACATTGTTTCATGTATAAAAGTGAATTCAAGCTTAATTCGATATGCAGCAGTGATCCCACTACTGCATAGACTGATGAATCGATGTCATTTCGACTCTGGATGAATAGCATTGAGGATGCTTGACAATGAAAGTGGTTTATTTGCCTTTATGTGATTCCTGTCCCAAATTTCCATTGAGAGGGAGAGAGAGAGAGAGAGTTTTCCGTATATGTTTTTTTTCTTAGTTGTTCCCTCATCCTGCAGGGAAGGTCTTGAAGTAACCGACGATGTATCGATCATAGAGCACCTAAAACATCCTGTGTATATCACTGAAGGATCCTATACTAACATCAAGGTAGTGAAATAATTTTATTAATCATCTAAATTTCTTTTATCTACTTCATAATTTGATAAGTAACAAAACAAGAATATGAAACCTTATGTGCTAATGCCGCTGCTTCATAACTTGCAGGTTACAACCCCTGATGATTTGTTACTTGCTGAAAGAATATTGAATCCTGCCACTGCAGTTCCAGCCCATTAAACTCTTCAGGGTTAGTTTAAACTGTTTGTATCTTATTTTATAGAGGTCCTTGGAAACACAATCCCAATTTCGAGTTTCATCCGATTTCTACATTATGTACTGTTGTTGATTCACGAAGAATTTGTTTCCTCATTTTAGTTTCACCATGTTTCTGATAACATTTTTATACCATGTATTGCTTAACATAAAAGAAATTACCATGCAAAACCCAGTGCCGATACTATCCCATGTAGTTTACCATTGTAATGGAGAGAGTGTTGATGAACTGGAGATGCAATGCATAAGAACTTGGAAGGGAACAACTTTCTTAAACTTGATTAAGGCTCTTAATGTAGACAACGGTTCGCACTTCGCATAAATTTTCCTTCACTGACCCTCATATTTATACTTTTCCCGGAAAAAATTGGCTTAATTTCACCAATAAATACAGAAAATGACAAGGGTAGGTTGAAAATCTCTAAAGGGTTTTCTTCGAGGAGAAAGCTAATTTCACATCGGGAAAATTTCATAAGAGATTACTATGGTAAATTTCAAAATTAAGAAAATAAGTTCAAAAATCAAATTTTTATTAAATTTTTTTATAATTTAATTAATTAATTAATTATTTTATTAATTACATATATTTAGGTCACATATCTATACAATTTGATCATAAATTAACAATTTAATTAGTCACTTATTATTTTTTTTTTATCACAAATCAAAAATTTTATATCACAAATTCAAAAATTTTGTACAACACAGTTTGTTCATTGGTCACAAATAAAAAAATTAATTAGTCACAAATTAATTTTTAGTCACAACTTATCAAATTATTGATCATAACTTATTTTTTGATCACAAATCAAAAATTTTATAAGTTATTATTTTTCGATCATGAAATATATTTAAGTCATATATTTATATAATTTGGTTACAAATTAACGATTTAATTCGTCACTTATTATTTTTTTGGTCACAAATCAGAAATTTTATGTTACAAATTATTTTACGATCACAATTCAAAAATTTTATAGGTCACAATTTGTTCATTGATCACAAATCGAAAAATTTATAAGTCACAATTTATTTATTGGTCATAAATCACAAATATTACAAATTAGAAATTATCAAATTATCGGTCACAGATTAAAATTTTTTAAATCACAGATTATTTTTCGGAAACAATTTATCTTTTCACTGGTCACATAATATTTAATGGTCACAGATTATCCAATTTAATGGTCACGATAGACTAAATAATTTGTGACAACCACAATACTTACGATTCATAATCACAATTTTTAGATCACGTATCCAATTGTGAGTCACGATCACAATTTTCATCGCCACCACGGTCACCGCCACACACCAACACCATAGTTGAGAGTCACAATCACGGTCCACAACCGTCCCAAATCATCGCCATCACCGTCGCCACCACACACCAACACCATCACCACAACCCCCATCACCCAAACTCTGCTTACTGTGACCCACAAAACCACTATCTCTACCACCGTTAAACATCACTACCATCACCTAAACTCCACTTAAACCACTGTAACCCCCTAAAACCACCATATCACCAATGTCACCTCACACCCATCGCACACAACAAAACACAATACAACACTGCACCCAAATCATACCACAATCGAATGACACATAAACCTTTCGGCCACCAAAATCAGGAAAAAAATATGGGATGGAGCAAGGAGGAATATGCAGCAGACCCACCACATCACGCAGCAGCAAACATCATATCGTTGCCATTGGCGATGATTTTCGATAGTGGTTCCAGCGATGGCGAGTTCGCAATAGCCTCTCAGTGATGACGAGTTCATAGCAGTTGGACGACAATTGTAGTTTTGCGAGGTTTGGTGATGGTGGTGGTAATGGTAATGGTGATAGTGATTGTGGTTGTCGCGGTCGTGGCGGTGGTCGTGGGTGGTATGAGATCGTTGCCGAAGAAGAAAGTGAGGGATAGAGAGAGAGACGAGCAAGGGAGAGGGAAGAGATGGTAATGGGTAGTGACAGTTGGGTAAGATTTTTATTTTTTTGGTAATTACTTAATTTAAATAATTAATAAAAAAATCTGGTTTCTAAAATATTAAAGTTTCAATCTGATTTAAGAATTTTGAATAGTTAATCTATGATTTTGTGTAATTTCCACTTTCACATATGATGAAGACATCTACTTTGGGCTGGCCCAGCGTTTGTTATCCTTTTTTTTTTTTTTGGGCTATATAATGTATTGGGCTGGCCCAAACTCTTTTTTCTTTTGTGTTGTATTTTATATGTATGTAGGCAGCCTTTTTGCAAGGGATAGAGAAATATGATGGATGAATACATTTTCTCGTTTTGTGAGCTATTTACTCGACTGAGTCGAGTTGTCTCCCACCTTGGGAGAGTTGATGAGGACATCTGCTTTGGCCTGGCCCAAGCCTTTGTTATTTTTCTTTTTTTCTTGGCTTTGGGCTTGTATAATGTATTGGGTCCCTTTTTCTTTTGTGTTGTATATATATATATATATATATATTTACACTTTTGTAACGGATAGAGAGATATGATGAATGAATGAAAATTCAGTGTTGCAAACATTTTCGCCTTTTTCACCGCCCTCTTCTTCTTCTTCTCTCCTTCTTCATCTTTCTTTTTCTGGTTTCTACTTCTCCCTGTGTGGCTGCTGCTGTGTTTATGTAATGCTACATCAACATATGTACAGATGTTGAAACAAACGCACGGGCATACCTTTCCACTCCTGGGAGGTTTGATGTTATCCATCAGGAGAACAACTACACAACAACCTGCTCCTGATCCGCCAGCAAGTATTGAGCGACAAATCATTGCATTATATAAAAGAATGAATCAGCTTGCACTATTCATTTCTATGGTGCTCCATTTCACACTGTAACTGGATTCTACTGTTCAAGGACTGGTTATTTCATAAATATCTCTTATAATATATAAATAAAACAAAAGCAACCAGAAATATCTCCTAATATATAAATAAAACAAAAGGACCCAGAATGCATATTGACCTTAAATAGGGGTATAGGAAATTCCACTTTGACTTTGAAAATTATGAATATTATCACATTGGCCTCTTGAATGTTAAAAGACAAGGATGCCCTTAAATGTATTATACAATTACAAAACACTGTATTGTTGAAAAGACTTTACTACCCTTTTAGTTAATAATTGAAAATCAAACACTTCCCCACTTATAAAACTTCAAAACGAGCTTCCAAGACAGAAAAAACTCTCATCTTTCATCTGCTTGAACCTTAACATCTCAAAAAACATTCAAACGCTGAAGCCGAAATTTTTTTAATATCAATTCTTCAAATCGGTAAGTATTTTTACGCATGTTTAATTTCTTTTTTTAGTAAATTAGTATACGTTTGAATAGAGAAAATTTATTTCGACATAGTAATAGTTAGTATTAATTTTTGATCGAACATATGAAATTTTTTTTTTGAACAGATCTATAATTTTTTTCTTCTACGTAATGCAGAAAACAGAAAAGCAGTCGACTGTTAACAGCCAAACAGTCACTTGACTGTGGGCTGTTAAACAGCCAAACAGTCGACAGTCGGCTATTTAACAGCCAACAGTCGACTGTTGGCACTGATTTTTGTTGACAATGCATTATTTTTTCTTATAATTAATAAATGAAGTTGATTAAATCTATTTCCTCATGCAGATATGATAATCCCCATCTGTTATTTCGGTGATTTCGAATTGAATGAAAATAATCGGTGGGAATGGAGATGGACGAGTGACATACGTGGTTGTATTGCAATTCCCATAACAGAGAGTACACCATACTTAGAAATGTATCACGATTTGCAAAATAAGCTGAATGTCGATCGATCTCAATAAGATATGCAATTGAGATATCTATTCAACAGTTATGGGGATTCATCCATTCCGATGCCACCGGTATTCGTTACTAATGATGCTGAATTGAATTATCCATTAGAATTGAATAAAATGTATCGGACTTCGATTGTTTTTGGTGTGACTTTAATTACGAAGGATGTTATCGAAGGTGAACGCGAAGATTCAGATAGGACGGATAACAATGATCGAGGTTTTTGGGAGATAGTGGAGATAGTTCCTACGGATGATGTGGTTATTCTTGAGACAGTTGCTTTTGATCGTGATGTCACAGTTACGCGCAGAATTTCGTCGACGGTTGAAAACAATGAGAATATAAACGAGTTTACAAATGAGAATTTGATTGTTTTATCCCGACAGAGACATGAGTAGGGTGGGAGCTCACAGGTTGGAACAAGTGGACCGTCCTCCAATTCTTCCCGTGTGGCTCCCGATTATGAGGACTTGTATGTCAAGCAACTATTTGAAACCAAGAAAGATTTGCAGGAAGCTGTGCACTGGCTGACAATTAAATATAACTTTGAGTTCAAGGTAAAGAAATCAAACAAGTCATTGTTGACAGTTGCCTGTGTGGAAGGCAGTTGCAATTGGTGCTTGAGAGCAACTAAGATGGACACGAATGAGTGCTTCGTAATTCGCAAGTATTCACGGGAATATACTTGCGAAGTGGGAATTCTTCGAAACAATCACAGGCAAATTCGAGCATGGTTTTTTGGTCGACAGATAATGCACAAGTATCAGGACCCACGGATGATCTACAGACCTTCGGACATCATTAACGATGTCCATCAAGATTATGGATTGATCATGAGCTACCAAAAAGCCTGGAAGGCCAAAGAATGTGCATTGGAGGATTTAATGGGATCGGTTGATGAGAGCTATGCTAAATTGGCCAGATATTGCTATAACATGGGGAGAACTAATCCTGGCACGACATTTTTTATTGAGACGGGGAGCGATAATTGTTTTAAGTATTTCTTCATGGCTCTCGGACAATGTATTTGGGATTTTCAAAATGTAATGCGACCCGTAATTCTAGTTGATGGTACAACTCTTAAAGCTAAATATCAAGGCAAATTAATTATTACTACATGTCAAGACGCCAACATCCAAATTTACCCTATTGCATTTGGCATAGTCGACAGCGAGAATGATCTGTCCATGCGTTGGTTCTTTTCGAAACTGAGGGAAGTAATCGGGGAAGTCGAAGACCTTGCCTTTGTAACCGATCAGGGACAGTCTATAATAAACGGTATCGCTGAAGTTTTTCCAGAAGCACATCACGAGTATTGCACGTACCATATACAAGATAATTTGAAAAC